TGTTGAGTGAAATAAGTCAAACAGAGAAAGACATGTATCATATGACCTCACTGATATGAGGAATTCTTAATCGCAGGAAACAAACTGAGGGTTGCTGGAGTGGGGGGTGGGGTGGGAGGGATGGGGTGACTGGGTGATAGACACTGGGGAGGGTATGTGCTCTGGTAAGCGCTGTGAATTGTGCAAGACTGTTGAATCTCAGATCTGTACCTCTGAATCAAATAATGCAATATATGTTAAGAAAAAAAAAAAAGAAGAAGAAGAAGGTAGCAGGAGGGGAAGAATGAAGGGGGGGAAATCGGAGGGGTAGACGAACCATGAGAGATGATGGACTCTGAAAAACAAACTGAGGGTTCTAGAGGGGAGGGGGGTGGGAGAATGGGTTAGCCTGGTGATAGGTATTGAGGAGGGCACATTCTGCATGGAGCACTGGGTGTTATGCACAAACAATGAATCATGGAACGCTGCATCTAAAACTGATGATGTATTGTATGGGGATTAACATAAGAATTAAAAAAAAAAAAAGGTGATTCTCTTGTTCTTCCCCACCAGGCCAGATTTATTCATGACTCTGGTTTCTCTCATCCTGCCCCCCTCATTTGCATGATCCTATTCTTTCTTCCCCTCTTCTTTCCTCCAACTGCTTCTTCCAATTCTACGCATCCATCAAGGGCCTCTACAAGATTTTGCTTCAGTATTTCCCACAACGTAATGAGTGTCACGAGATATGTAAACCATCGGCACTATTATTTATTTAGTGCATTTTTTTAAACCGATGCACTTTTTATTCTTAAATTTGCTTGAAAAGAAAACCATCATAAATGAAAAACCTGTTTCACTAGGCATCAACAGGAGCTATAAAATCACCGATATAAACAAAATATATTTAAATTACAGCTAGATTTTGTTGCTTGCCAAAGGCACTTAGTTTGAGGCTTGCTCATTCTTGTTTAAAAAATAAATCAAGATAAGCACGTTAGATATTAACGACACATTTGCATTAGATTGTAACTTCGAAAGTTCCTCATTGAAATAACCAAATAAACTGCAAGAAGGCTGAAAAGCAAGTAACTTTCTCATTGAATGTTTCAATCTTATTTCAAGTCACCTTCCAGTACTGCCGTATGGAACCTCTCATAAAATGTTATGCATCTCAGCCTTTGGAAAACAGTAAATTACCAGATCGCTCAGCCTCATTATTTCTTTTGTGAATTGCACCATTTACCTATGCCACTTATTTGGGAACTTAGAACATTTCTTACATGATATTTAATTCATTTGTATCATTTCATGTTGGCAGATACAAGAGGAATTCTCAGGATAACGCAGTCTTAGGCACACACAAGTCAAGGTTTAGCCAAACCAGAAATACAAGTTGACCCTTGACCAACATGGGTGTTAGTGGTGCTAACCCCCTGCGCAGTAGAAAATCCCTGTAGAACTTTTGATTTCCCAAAAAGTTAATTACTAATAGGCTTCTGTTGACCTTACAAGTAACCTAAACAGTTAATCACCTTGCTTTGTGTGTCATATGCATCACATACTGTATCCTTACAATAAACAAAGCTAGAGAAAAGAAAACACTATTAAGGAAATCATAAGGAAGAGAAAATACCTTCATAGTACTATACTGTATTGAAAAAAATCTATGTATAAGTGGGACCACACATTTCAAACCTGTGTTGTTCAGGGGTCAACTGTTTTATAACAGTTATAATGAGGGCCAATGCAATGTATAAGCGAATGATAAGGAAAACTTGAACTGGTCATAGGAAATTATTTTTAGGCAAATCAGTAAAGAATTATATATGGAATATACATGGGAATGGCCGTATATATTCTTTCTCGTTGCCTGTTAAAGATATGTTCTACAGATGACTATATACAGTTATATATGCATACATAGCTAGAAATACAATATCCTTTGTAAGATCCTTTAAATAAACCCTATTTGTCAAAGTTATTTGTTGTATTGCTGTTTAAGCTTTCTGTTTTAAAAACTAATTGAGTGAAGTCTAGCTTTGGATTAATGTGGATGAAAGTTTAGAAATTTAGAAGTTCATTGGCATTTCATAAGACTTCCATCTCATATTACAGAATCAAACTGGACACATAGATTTTAAGTTGCCAACCACCCTGACTAGGGTTTTGGTCTTTACTAAATATCTAAGTTTGAGAATAGCTTAAGAGAATGCACTACACTCATTTGCCATCTGACTTTACTCACTTTGCTATAGGTCAGAGTTTGGACTTTTCTCAAAACCTGTGCATTATGAAAGTTACAAGTAAAACTCAGGAATAACTGCAAATGTCTTCACATTTCATTAATTCACACTTAAACCATGTTCCATAGCATTCATCTTTATTAAGTTTTTATACTGACAGAACTGAGTTTAAATTGGAAGTGCCATATGAAAACATTTTATTGTCTTCAAAATAGTATCTCTTTGATTTCAGACCAAAAAAAAAAAAAGGCATATATTCTAGTTTTGATTAAATATTTAAGATTTGAGCAGAATTTTGCCCTCAGAATAACAATATATGCATTAACATATAAAAGTCTGGATTTCTTAGTACACTCAATATAAGGGTTTTGAAAAAAATACTATTTTTTTAAGATTCAGCCTTAGACATAGTTATTTTTCTTTAAATGACATGTCCCTCTAAAATTATTATGCATTTCTGAAGGCTGATTAAAAAAACTCAAATAAAGAATAGTCAGAAGGTTTTGTCTGATATGAGTTTAAAATTTTTTCACTCTTAATGAAGTCTATCAGCAAGAAAGGTTATGACCTGATATTAATAGCAAGAGGAACAAAGGGTTTTGATTTTCTTTGTATCCTAATCCTCTAGCAGCTGATAAATAGTTTAAGTGCATCTTCCAAATCCAGCATTATGCCATGTTCAAAAGTATTTTAACTAGTTATCAAAATAGAAATTAATTACATAGGTTTTCCATGCAGAGTAGTTTATTGGATAGAAAAGCTGTCCTTTTTAGGAGAAGATGGACATTAGAGTGGCCAGACCTGATTTATAGTCATTGTCCCCATCTTGAGAAAGTAGTTTCACTTTTCTCAGCTAATATTTGTAGATTTGCAGAATGGGAATGATATCTCCCTTGCAGGCATCAGCATAATATGTGGAACTGATTATAGAGTTCCCTTTAAAAATGGTAGCTGTCATTATCCAGCTAGCAATTTTAAATAAATCATTTTCTTTCCTTAAAAATTGAATTCAAGTAAGCAGAATTTGTCTTATTATTACTTTTATTTTCTATTCTCACTCATTCTTTCCACCTTTTTACTAGAGACCTGGTGGTAGGAATCACGGCTCTGAATAAAACAAATCTCTGTCCTCATGGAGTACATTCCACTGACAATAAACACAGTTAAAAAAAATTAAATAAATGTCACTGTAATAATAAAAGTACTGTTGAGCAAATGAAGCCATGTGGTAGACTAGTTTGAAGAGAGACATAAGGAGACCACTTTCGGTGAGGTGGTTGGAGAAACCTCTCTAAGTGGTGACATCTGAGCAGAGTCACGAAAGATAGAAGGAAGACAGAGTGTAGCCCGAGAGAACACCAAGACATTGGGAAGAGCAGGCAGAGAAGTCTGAGGCAGGAAGAGCCCCATGACGTTACCGACCAATCAGGATGAAATAGGGCTGAATGGTTGGGAACAAATTGAGGAGCAAGGCAGGGGCCATGTGGTGGAAAGACTTACCAGCCATAGTAAGAGGAATAGGGAGCCATTAGAGCAGCGAAGTTTAAATTTAAGTAGATTTTTCTAGGTGACTATTGCAGGGAGAGAGATGGATGCTGGATGAACAGTAGCCAATTAAATAGTGAGTATATTTGGAATATATTTTGAAGCTAGAGCTCATAGGAATGAAAAAAAAAAGGAGAATCAAGAAAGGCCACTATTTTTTGGCTTGTGCAGTTGGGGGACAATGGTACCATGTGTTGAACCAAGAAAGCATGGGAAGAAGCAGATTTAAGGATACCAGTCAGGAGTTCTGTTTTAAGCATGTTAAATTTCAGATGCTGATAGACAGTCAAGTGAACACACAAAGGATGCATGGATTTTTTTTTCTTTTTTTGAGAGAGAGAGAGTGCAGGGGCAGAGGGGCAAAGGGAGAGAGAATCTTAAGCAGCATGGAACCCAACCCGGGGCTCGATCTCACTACTCTGAGATCATGACCTGAGCCAAAACAAGAGCTGGATGCTTAACCCTAACTGAACCACTCAGGTGCACCAGCAAATGGGTATTTTAAACTATCATTAATGGGTTTCTCTTTGTTTTAAAATCATTTTCTGTATTTGTCACATGACAGATTTTGTTCATGGTGCATATACGTAAAGTTGTTAAAGTGATGTTTGATTATGATTTTCTCAAGTAATTTTATTGTAGCAAGGTCATCTGAACTATATTTACTTTAAAGGAATTCCCTAAGTTTGAGAGGTATCTGTCTGAACCTTCCTGAAACTTTTTCAAGTCAAGAGATGTGTCATATCTTAGTGGGAATATGACACATGGTGGTGCCACTCATGAAGCCCCTCCCAAAAGATCTGTAGTTGTCTGCAATATCCTGGTTTACTGAGGATGTAAAGTTGGACCAGATGCTCTAAACCAGGATTCAATAAACTATGGCCCACAGGCCCAGTCTAGCATCCCACCTATTTTTCTAAGTAAAGTTTCTTTGGAGTAGAGCCATACTTACTCTTTAGATATTATGTGTATGGCTGCATTCACAGTACAATGGCAAAACTGAATAGTTACAAGAGAGACTTAAGACCCACAAAGCCTAAATTATTTATTATTTGGCCCTTTAAGAAAAAAATTGGCTGACCCAGTCCATATGATTTTATGATTTGAAGAAAAGTGAATTAGAAATGAAGTAGAATCTATATCCATTTACCACCTGTAACAATTGTGAAATTAGATCTTATATTCAATATTTACTTTTAGTGATTTTCTTTTCTTTTCTTTCCTCTAAAGCTGAGAATCAGAGCTCAATCAAAACAACAGAAGCACCAGGTAAGTTAATTTTCTTCTCTCTGAGAATATTCATGAGTAAAATCCCCAAAATGAGATAAAGGAGATCAGTGTGAGAGCAGGGAAAAATAGTACAAGGGAAAACATTACATGGCAACTAAAATGTTTAGGAGAACTTGCATTAAAAAAAAAATACAGACCAGAAGATAGGATGTGCCTGAACGCTCTGTGGTGAGAGTGAGTGGAACCAGCCCTGGTAAGTTCATGAAGCCTGTGGAAGTGTCCTCTGCCCAGAACCCACTGTTCCTGGTCTGTTTCTGCGGTTGGCCTGCCCTCGCCCAGAAGTATAGTGTGTCCGTGACTGTCTTCTCTGTGTTTCCCAACACAGCCTGATCCTGGCAGCCCGAGAGTTGATATTAGAAGCCACAGTTAACAGCCTAAAATATGATCACTCCAAGAAGTGCTTGTGTTTTGTTATCCTAAATTTTAAACTGAATAAATTGAGGGTGATGGCATAACAGGAATTGAAAAAGATCGTTGGGCAGGGAAAGATGGTACCATTGAATGTTTCTGTTGTTTTGAAATCGTAATTACTTGGGAGACTTTTATCTTCCTACATCTTACCTCTTACTTTTATAAATGACAAATCTCTTAGGTTCTCAATCTTGGTCACTTTTGGTATATATAAGAATGAGAAATATGTGAAATAAACGTAGAAGATCACGTAACTTAAAAAAGTCAGAAAAATAAAGCCATGAAGATTATGACCAACTCGGTTTTCACAGCAAATGTACTAAATAATCATCACAGTCTACCTTCCCCATCAGGTGTTTAAGGAACTCAAAACTGAAATGATTATGCTGTTAACTTTTAATTATTTATCTTCTATACAATATATCTCATGAATAAAAAAGTTATTTTGATATTAATCCTCTATTTCACCTCATCACTATATTTTTTTCATTCTTATTTCCATTTACATAGTCTAGAAATGCACTAGAAAAAGCACTGGGAAAAACACAGCAAAACAAAACATAAAAACAATGCATCCAAGCAAACAGGACAGCTTTGCATTGGTTGATGGTTTGCACTGTTCTGGAGAAGTGCTTACCTTCTGCTTCATGGACTGGTCATCCAGGAGAAGTTACAGATGGAAGAGAATTGAGAAGTTGCCAAAATCATCAGCTCCTTAAAAGGAGGGATTGAAGCACCCTTTAAGAAATGAATTTACAAAATGCCAGCTTTAATTATAGTTGATTTTTAACTATAATAAAAAGCCCATTTACACTATTTAAATTTTGAGTTATAGAAACTAGTTGCCCTAAAACAGATAATAAACACATCATTGATTTGAACAGTGGATTAAAAAGAAGTGAGACTGATTTTATAAACTATGAGAAAGTCAGTCTTAACTTCAGGGATATATGTTATGGGTAAAGACTAAATCCAGACTCACTCAAAAAGAAAAAAAAAGTGTAATGACAAGGTATTCATTACACATCTGTTGACAGTTGTAATCATTTGTTTGTTCAGTCATTTGTTTGTTATCAAAGATGTTCAAATATCAAATTTGTGAAAGTCACCCATATGATCAAGAATAGGCATCTTACTTGAAATAATTAACATTTTTTTAGGTGGAAGTTGAGGTAGAATTCTAGCCTGCAGAATTACTATTATTACTTCTTCCTTTTTAAAAATATAAGCTAATATGCATTTAGCCTTTGATTAGATCATATGTCATTCTCACATTTGGCATTTTCTTTCATATTATGCATCCAGCTTTCATTTTCTTGGAAAAATTATGTTTTACCACTGACTTCAAAAACTATTATTAAGGGTATAGAAATTGATGGTTGTTTTTACATAATACTTTTTTGGGTATTCAAAATATGTAAGGCAACTGTACATAAAGCATCAATTATAAGAAATTATACATAGATATAATGAAGAAAGATAGTCTTAGTAATAGGGAAATGATCGATCAAGGTCTGAAGACATGGCCATTCAGTCCATTCAATAGAGGAAAGGTAGTATGAGGTGGATCATTGTGTTTAACAATGCCAAGCATGAAAAATTCATGCTCAATGTCTGAAGTATGTGGGAAAGTCAAACCTCACCTACCGACTGTAACATATATGGTAAGACCAGAAATTTTGTATGATACTATACTAAATACAAAGAACCGTATATTCAACCAACCACCACTAACCCAGGCATTTAATAGATAGTTCTTCTGTTTCATATATGTAACACTAGCTAAGAGTTATGAGTGATACCTGGAGCCTGCCTTCTTACCAAGAAGACTGGTCAGCATGGTAAAACAAAGAAACTAAGAAACAAAAAAACTGTAAAATCTCTTGTAGCCATATAGGTCCACAATGATGTGTCATAGGCAAACTTCAAACTTCTTAACCTTAGCTTAAGATTGGAGAAAGGAGAGATTTTTTTTTTCTCCATTTAGCTGTGGTTGTGTTAGACATCAGATTTAGAAAAGCAGTTTAAGGAAGATGAGGAAAATGTTCATGAAAGAAGTGACTTTGTAGCTTCCAGATTATTCTGCCTACTCATTTTTCTAGCCCTGAGTTCAGAGCTAATGAGGAAATTGAAAGAAAAAGTCATGCAGGGCTATTTATCCCCTAGAGATATATGCAGGAATCATATGGCCATCACAACAATTTTAAGCAATGATGGAATTCACTTTTCTTTAGCCTTATCATTTTTCCACAGACAAGCAGAGCCAATAATGTGTCCTTGAAAATGAAACTCTCGATTTCTTTGAAAAGAGACCTTAGATTTGAAGAAAAAGGGACAAACATGCCTCAGTGTATTGGGAAAGAAAGAAACCATTTGCCTTCAATTTTCTGGAAAATACAACTATATTACTCAGGGTTCTCCAGAGAAACTATATATATATCTATGTATAAAGATTTATTGTAAGGAATTGGCTCATGCATTTTGAAAACTGAGAAGTCCCAAGATCTGCAGCCAGGAGGCTGGAAGCCTAGAGACCCAGAAGAGCAAATTGTGTAGTTCCAGTCCAAGGCCCGAGAACCAAGACAGCCAGTGGTGTACATTCCAGACTGACAGCCAGCAGGCTCGAGACCCAAAAAGAGCCAATATTTCAGTTTGAGTCCAAATACAAGGAAAGACCAATGTCCCAGCTCAAAGCAGTGAGGCAGGAGAGTTCGTTCTTTATTTCTTATTTCCTACTGAGGGGGATTCAGCCTGTTTATTCTATTCAGGTCTTCCATTGATTGGATGGAGCCATCTGCATTGGAGGGCAATCTGCTTTATTCAGTCTACTGATTCACATGTTAATATCATCCAAAAAATACACTCATAGACATATCTGGACTAATGCTTGGCCAAATATCTGGGAACCCCAAGGCCAAGTCAAGTTGACGCATAAAATTAATCACTGCAACCACATTCCCATAGTGATCAGCACAACTTGAGAACGGTCTCCTTGTACCCATCTTCTTTACTTTTTTAACTGTGTTTCACAACCTCAATTGCATTGTAGACATTAATTTTGATGGAAAATTAGAAGCCAGAACAGACATGACAAGTCCTACCAAACCTGCCCACTGGCCTTCGGAAAGGAGAATGCTCCAGCCGGGCATATTCATTGTGCTCAACACCCTATGTAATGCTTGAGAATTGGTTGCTGACCTCTAGGAATTTATATAACGTGAATCATCAATCCTTCTATGCAGAAGGTTACTTATCTGAGTTTTCTAACTTTGAATAACAGAATCTTGAACCAACTGTTCAGGTAGAATCCACTCAAGCTAGAAATATACCTATAGCAAAGCAATATCTAGAGGCTTATTATTTTTTTAACTTGGAAATTTTATAATATTTTAAAGATTAGTTGAGAATAAAAGGACTCACTAATGGAAGATGTCAATATTGATGTGATAGGGTGCCTGGCTGGCTCAGATGGTTAAGCGTCTGCCTTCGGCTCAGGTCATGATCCCAGGGTCCTGGGATCGAGTCCTGCATCGGGCTCCCTGCTAGGTGGGGAGCCTGCTTCTCCCTCTGCCTCTGCCTCTCTCAATCTCTCTCTCTGACTCTCATGAATAAAATAAATAAAAACATTAAAAAAAAAGTATAAAAAAATATTGACGTGATAGGGTCTGCCATCAACTTTCACTTAAGAAATTGTATAAATCTGGGAATAGCTAAGTGATTTCTCCTCTAGTTCAGAAATCTGTGGCATCTCCAAGAAGTTCTTGTGTTTCTCTAGTCTACAGGGAAGGTCACAAGAACTCACAGTCTCAACTGATTAGCTACCCAGCGTTCACTTTAAGAACCAATACGTTTTAATGTTATTCCTAATGGTGTGTGCCTTATAAACTCTACAGTGTGCTTTATTTAATATATTAGGAATAATTCTCTCTTCTTGTATGTATCTGCATGGACTGATTTGGCCCATTGAAGGAAGGAGGTGTTTAGTTTGTCTCGATGGAAAGAAGTTTGTCTTGATTGGGGTCTAAATTGAAATAGGCTATATTTTCTGTAACAGAAATAAGAGGCATGAACTTGTAACTCATTCCTGTTGAAATGCAGCAGCAGGCAGCATAGAGTCGTGTTTGACAACACAGACTTGAGAGCCTATGTGGAAATCCTGACTCTGCCATCTCCTTGCTGTGTGACTTTGGGCAAATCACTTCATCTCCCTGGGCTTCAGTTTCCACTTTGTAAAATGCAAATATTTACAATGCAATAATTGAATGAATTAATATTTGTAAAACACTTAGAACAGTGCCCGACACATAGGATCCCAAAAAGGTTTTAATAGAAAATCCTGTTCAATATTTTAATGTCCATATTTTGAAATGCTTACCTTCATATTCTCAGAAAGCATAACACAGTAAAATATTATAAAGCTTTTCAGTGTTTTCAGGTCCGATTTTTCAAATTGTGAATTTAAGGTAAGATGATGTTTCTATGTTAGGGGAAGGGTAAGAACATTCTAAACCTTTAGTATGCTGAGAAAAAATTTCATTGATTTCAATGATAATGATGCCGTTAACAAG